TATGAAAAAAAAGAAAGAAAGAAAGAAAGAAACCTTATGTGAAAGTTTATTTGCCTTTATGTGAAAGTTTATTTGCCTTTATTTGCCTTTGTGTGAAAGTTTATTTGCCTTTCTATATATATACATATATATATATATAATTATCTACATTTGTGAAAATTGTTTTTTTTTCTTCCTAATAAAAAAATATTTGTTTATAGAAACTTTTGCTGAGATTATCATATATACCTCTGATATATGAATATCTAATTGCATATGTATTTCATGAGTACTGATCTCTTGCTCCGCGTGGAGCAAGAAAATTCTTCCACATATTCTAATGGTCACATTCCAAAACCACCTATATGCTTTCCTTTTAATACAAAATCACTATCACTATTTATAGTTTCTAAATTTAATATTTACCAATACTACTAATTACAACAATAAAAGGTAAGTACCAAACAAATAAAAATAGAAATCGCTTCACCACTAGAACATCGGCCACTAATTGGAATTTTTGTTTTCTTTGTTGTCTTTGTTGTTACTTTACATATTAGCTATCTTTCATACCCTTTTTACTTACAAAAAAAAAAAAATGATGATAGTGAAAAAAATAATAATGATAGTACAATAATAGCAGTATTAAAGAAAACACTAAGAAAAACAACTAATTTACAAAGAAAGTATGAAATTTAATAGAATAATAGCATTTTTTGTGGTGACTCTCCTCATTACGTCAATAAATTTTTGTTATTAGAGTAGAAGTAGAAAAACTATATTGTGCGATTTATTATAACAGATGAGTAATTGGAATATGTTTACAATTCTAGTTAGAATCTGGAATAAAATATAACAAAATTAACAAAAGAGATGAGATAATTTGTGACAAAGGGTCAGAGAAAAGTAGATTGAATTTCTAATTTTTAAATAGCATGCATTTAGGGTGGTATGCAATAATTTAAATGGTAATCTAATAAATTTTTTATGGGTGAAGTGTTGTGCCAAATCACAGGTTACCTTAAATTGATCAAGTGGGTAAAAAAATACAAATTTTATTTTCATTTTTTATTATTTTTTAGTGTATGTCAATAGTGTAATTTTTAATTTCTTTTCATACTTGAACAAGTAGGCAATGTCAACTTCACTCTTTAGTATCAAGTTATGGATGCAATTTTCTAACACTTACAAATTTTTTAAAGAAAGCAAAATTTCTATTAGTGGTGAGACGTAATTTCGAAAGGTGAAGAGGTTTTTATTTTTATTTTTTTTAGTACTTACCTTTTATTGTTATAATTAATGGAATTGGTAAAGGACAATACTAAATTTAGAAACTAGAAATAGTGATTGTGGTTTTGTATTAAAAGGAAAACATTTAGGTTGGTTTAGAATGTGACCATTAGATTTAATCTAATAGTTACTATAAAAAATGTAAAAGAATTTTCTTACTCTATAGAGAGCAAGAGATCACTACTTTGTATTTCATATGTAGAGAGAAACACTCAACTTTAAGTGCATATATATTTGATTTGAATACGTACGTACAAGTCAAGTGTAACTCTGTCTTTGCTGCTAAAATTTCAATTAATGAAAATTTGTAAAAGTTAATGTAAGAAACTGATGTAGGTAATAGATGTTTTGAATTATCATGATAGAAAATGATATTATTGACAACTTTAATACACCGACTTAAAACTGACATAGTGAAAAATATGACGCGTTATTATAAAATTGAACTTAAATAAGTTTCATTACTACTTCGTTTTGTTTCAATAAAATACATCAATTTCACTTTCTTTATCTTTTCAATTTTCCATAACTCATTTCCTTATCTTTTCAGTTTTCATAACTGTATTATCTTCTTTTTTGTTTTCACATCAACTTTCTTGGTACTTAAATATAAGAATTTGATTGGTACAAAATCTAGAACAAAAACTATAATATTTTTCAATTTTTCATTGCATTGCAATTTTTCTTTAAATTCTTCTCTTTGTTTTTGTTTATGGAGTTACATAGATCATTAGTTTTGATTATTATAGCAATAAACAAATGCCTACCTAATTGTACATAGGAGATACAATCTTAAGTATCTATGCCTTAGAGAGATGCAATGTGATGTATATATAAAACACATATACAATTTGATTGAAACTTTAATCACCAACAAAGATACTATGTATATTAACCTAAAAAGTAGATTACAACTTTCCAAATAGTCAATTACCTTATATTTTAAAATGGATCCCATTATATTTGACAAATTGATTGCCAGACTCGGTGAAATAATATGTTTTTATTTGTCGAGTAAATAGCTGTACTCTATTTTCATATAGTCTGGAATATAAAGTGTTTAATGCATAGCTATTAGAAGTAGCTATTAATTGTGTTAACTGTGTGTGCCTTAATTACATCATTATGATTTTATTTTGCCGAGTGTTTTTAAATGTTTAATTTGAAATAAGATTTACACAATGGCATTGGATGGAGTTCTACTCTTGTAACTGATCTTTAATTGTAATTTATAATGGATTAATGTTGTAAAGTTTAGTGGCGCTATTATTATCATTGTGAGAAATAAATTGTAGGTTTTTTTTATTTTTATTTTTTTTACTTAAGTTTCATAATTTTGTATTGGTTTTGACATTAATTTTTTTTTTTAAAAAAAAACATTAGAGATTGATCTTATGTTTAGACATTTCTATTAATCAATAAACGTTTCACAAAAAAAATGTTACCCTTTACTCAAATTAACCTAGTCTCGATTCGTAGGAAAAGGATATGGTATCTTTTGCAAGTTCTGCTATTGGACTGGGCGAATGATTTATGACCTCAAAAGACTAAAGTTCTCACCATCAATAAATTGTAGACTGATTCATGCCTGCAAAAAGAAAATTGAATTATTTATTTTTAAACATGTCCATAAATTTTGTAGTATTAACAGTTGAATGATTTTTACCAGATTTTTCAAAAGACTAATGGAGAGAAATTTAATTTTTAATCTTTTGACGTCATGAATCAATCCCATGACAATCATTCACCAAAGTAGAATTTGCAAAAGATTTTATGCTTCTTGTTTCTTTCCTTTTCTTTTTTATTTTTTATTTTTATTTTTTAGTTACCTCAATCTAATTATTGGGAAGGAGGAACGAACAATAGAGACATTGTGGTAAAATAGAATTGTGTGCAACAAAGGTTTTGATTTATTAATTTTTGAGTTGTGATACTCTAGTAGAAAGATTAGACTGATTTGTTAAGCAAAATGTGCGTGTCACAAAAAGGCAAATTAATATGGCAATCAAATAGTCCTACTAGCATGTCCATTAAAACAATATGAATTTTCAAAGATAAAATTACTCTTATATACCTTCTTGTATTCATCCTTCCTTTTTTCAGGGTCACTTAATGAGATCATTGTTTGTGTCAAAAAAAAAAAAAAAATTGAGATCATTGTTTCAAAAACAACTATAATAAAAATTACCTTAAATTCCTTTTATAAATTTTATCAAAACACTATCTATGTATAATAATATATAATTTTTAAAAAAGAAATCATCAAATATATATATATATATAAATTTGTAAGCATAGTGCAATTCAATCCCCATAATTTTGTTTTTAAAAAAAATGACAAGAAGGTCATTTAATTCATTAATGCACTATGTCTTAGTTTATAACGTCACAACTACCCTTTATACAACTTTTTTTTACCTTCTTTAATTCATTTACTATTTTTTTTCGTGTGCTCGGAAGTCCTCTCAAAGAAGATAATTAATTCCATACTGATAATTTTATTTTTGGGAGTCAAAAGAGATAATTTATTGATGACCTTTTTTTTTTTTTTTTTAAATCTTGGCAAAAGAGATAATTTCTTCAATAAATTTTTTATTTCTTTTTATTTTTTTATTTTGGGTTTTTTTTTTGGTGTCAAAAGAGATTATTATTTTAATGGTTACTTTTTAATTTTTGGTTTGGTCAAAAGAGACAATTTATTCATCATAAATTTTTTTTTGGTCATGGAAACAAAATATTATTCAATTTTTTTTTTTTTTTTTTCAAAAGAGACTTAAAATATTAAAGATTAGAGATAGCTAAAGAAAATCTTAAAGGACAGTTGTGTCATTTAAAAAGTAATAATCATTTATTTATAAAGTTTAAGTTATAATTGCCATAAGATTGTAGTTCAAATGTAGAAAAGTGGGGTGCGAATAGAGCCTCCCTAAAAAAGGGAAAGAAAAGTGGTGCCGGTCTGTATGATAACACTCTTTTGCACGAAATGAACAACAGATTGAATGGGCTCGTCGATCGAGTGACAAATCCAAAGATCCCAGTTCATCAACTTGAAAAGGAGAGAAAGAGAGAATACCACCATGAAAAAGGAACGAGTGGTCTCTTAGGGCAACCTTATATTTGTATATCCTGATCGAGAATCAATGATGGTAATGGAGAAAAGTGTGAGAGAAGAAAATAAATAATAATTTGACTATGTGATAGAGATGGATGAAGAGAGATATTAGTGGTAATTGAGAATCTTTGCTAATTGGGATTATGTAAGGATTGTTTTGTCTTTAAAATTTTATCTTTCTGGGTATATTAAAGTTATAGTGACACATCACCCTGGCTTGAGTTTTGGGCCTGAGTATTTGGTGCAAGTATCATTTTTCTTAATGTTTATCCTTTATGATTGAAATATGAGATAAATATTCATAAAATGAACTTTTTCGGAATATATATATATATATATATTAAGTTGAATTTAATTGTATTGGTAATAAGAAGGATTTTAAACAACAATTGCATATTCACATTTTGGTGATATTATATATACCCGTACAACGGATTAAATGGCCCATTAATAAATACTAAGATTTTATTGTTCGGTGATCCATGATACCAAAAATCAAGATACGATTGTCTAAGAATTTTTTATTTTTTTCAATAACACAATTAATTATATTCATAATCTTGATATTAAGACATGTAATCTTGATTTCACATAACATTGTCATTGACACTCATTTCTCTCAATAATGAACTACAGTCACCTCATACTCCGAAACAGCATCACCAGTAATAGCATTGAAGTCATGAGTTTTGTGCTTAGCAAACCCTCTAGCCATCCTGAACCTCCCTCTCCCTCCGACCACCGCCACCTCTTCGGTCGGCTGTGCCGGAGTCAGCGGAAGTCTTGAGAACACACTGATCGAGCTTCCGTTAAACTTACCCGTGGTAAAACCAAAATCAGCGTACACCACCAATGTCAGTGTGGCATCTTGACTGGAGGAGACATAGATGCCACGGGCATTGCCGATCACCTTGGACGTCGGCTCGGGGCCCTCCGTGAGAGGGTCGTCGAAGACGAACACGCTGCCGAATGGGGTCGGGTTGGTGTCATCTCCGGTGAGGTTAGCATGGGCCACCTTGACAGCACTTGCTTTCTTGCCACTGATGGTGTCATGAAGGAAGAACAAGAGGTGGGTCTTCTTCTCCTTTGGCACATATGACACGCTATCGGAGTGGTATTTGCAGTGCACCGATACGGTGGTGATGCAGAGGATCAAAACCCACATCAAAACCAACCTTCCTTCCATTTTTCTTCTGTTTTTTTTCTCTTCCTTCTTTCCTTCCGCTAGGGTTTTTATAGCCATAATGCTATACTATAACCTTAAAAATATTTGAATATTAACAAAACAATCACAATATTTATGAAATATTACTTATTATCAAATTGGGAAATTTCCAACCTTAATTGTTTTACCTTTTATAAAAAAATTCGAAATATTAGTAGGTCATAATGTCATTGCATTAATTGGAATCTAGAATATATATATATATAGTCTTCTTTATCAATATTTTCATACCGTTTGTCTTTGAATTTTCTTACCGTTTTAGTCTTTGCGGTAGCGTAGTTGAATGCTAAAATGAATTTTAGGAGTCTGATGAACCGAAAATTTTCAAGGGAAAATTACACTTATATAGAGTTAGGAGTCTTAAATAACAAAATGATCTAATTTAAAATTTTATTTTTTACTTTGGTTAAATTAAGTAAACTAATTACATATGTATCAATAACTTTTGTTTAGGTCCAAAATGCCCTCAAAACACTTATTCCAAAATAGTAAAAATTATTCTCCTAAAATCAAGTACTTTCTTTAAATAATTTATTTATTTAAAAATTTTAAGAAAATAAGATCATTCCTTTAACTTTGAACCATATTGCTGCAACTTTTATATATATACACACGAGAACTTATACAAATAATAAAAAAGATTCAATATAGTAGAAAATGGGGCAATCAAAAGTAATTCCCCCAAAAAGAAAAATATAATTAAACTCAATAATATATAAATCGTCTTTGTTGTGGTGCATGCCTTAAGATGATCATAAAATTTTTGGCTCAATTAATTACATTTATTTTATAAATAAATAAAAAATAATTGCTGATGTACCATTTACTAAAACAACCATTTAATTTTTTCATGATCTATTTAATTTTTTCATGATCTCCCTCTACTATGCGTGTGTAGTGTATGTGTAGATATGTATGTATGTATGTATATATATATATATATATATATATATATAGGATGAATTTTCAATTACCGAAATAAAAAATTCTATACATAATGAATTTTCATTAATTTTTTTTATATATATTTCTAAATTATTATTTGCAGATTTGAACCGATATAGATTGAGACATACCGTTAAAGTTGTTTGCACATATATATATATATATATATATATATACTGCTTTTTATTTTATTTATTTTGGTAGGGAGTAATATATACACTATATGCAAAAATGCCAAGTTGAAAGTCAATTCAAAAATCTTGTTTTTCTAAATTTTATGAATGAAAGAATTATTTGATTTAGGAAGAATATTTTGTTATTTTAAAATAAGAGTTTGGAGGGTATTTTGGACATAAATAATAACTGTTTATGTATATATAATTATTTAACTAACTTGACCAAATTATAAAATTAACTTTAAAATTAAATCTATTTATTATTTAAGGGTCTTAAATTTACTTTTAAGTGTAATTTTTCCATTTTCAGGAGAAAACTACACTTACATACCAGTTCAAAATTCATTTGGTGACTGTTCTACTTCCCTCGCAAAACAAGATTTTATGCGCATTGTGCTCTCACGCACATCTGGCACCACCATTCGCTTTCACAGAGGAGAAAACGGAGTATAACGGAGGTCCACCTCTCTATTGGATCCTTTTGCCGTTACCCTAAATGGAAACAACTGAACAATCAATAAAATAGAGAAGATATTTGTCCATTTGCAAAAAGAAATTGAATTAAAAGTCAATTAATTAATTACTACTAAAATGGGTGAAATAAGCGGGAAAAAAGGTCAGCAACACATTAAACGACAGTATCCAAAAATGAAAAATCAGATAACGTATCATATATGCTAATGCCAACAACAACGTGCCTTATACTACATATAACAATGGGCGTAGGGTTTAGGATTTAAGATTTAGGGTTTAGGATACCAATAGCAAGATTTAAAATGAAAACATCCCCTCAACTATTGTTATCATATTTCTTGAAAAGCAATTTATGCCCCCCATAAATTTTATTAGGGCCCTAAAGATAGTTGAAATTAAAAATAGGCTAGAATCCAAAAAAATTCCTTAAACTATTATCTAATCACTAACAAACTCCCTGAACTACAAAAACTGTAAAAAAAAACTCTCCGAACTATACAATTATGCAATTTTGTTGCAGATAAATACAATTATGTGTAATGTGTAAAGTGTAGAAATATAAAATAACTACAACAATTTTTTAGAAAATCATGTAATTTCAGACTAAGCATAACCCATTTGTGGTTGGCATGGCTTATCCTCCTAAACTAGGGTGTGGTATGAGCCATCTTCCTTAGGCATGGCCTATCAAGGCCTTAATATTACAAGTTTAGCATATGAAATCAATCCTCTAGCATAGACTATCTTTGGTTAGCATGAACCATCTACCTAACCACATTACTTTAAGGGTGTAGCATAGTCCGGCCATCTTCCCTTAGTATAATCTATCTAAATTCATATATAACATGCCAATAATCTTATTTCATTAATATCAATCTTCATTCTCACATATGAAAATATTAAGTGTGTATGTATATAATCATGCTTCTAAGACAAAAGTTGCATGGTGTATACACCTATATATATATATATATTCTGCCCAGATTGTATATCAATTTAATGTAAACAAAACACAAATTGAATAATACATCAACATCTTTATTCATGAAACTCATCAGACACGAGAGTTTTTCCCAAATTACATTACAATACTACATAATTATTTAATTGAGGCTACCTCAATCTCTTAGGAGAGGATTTAGCTTATCTTGGTGATGGTAGAAGCTCCAATCGTTGAAGAGGAAGACTCCATCTTCAGCTCCATGGCAGCCCCAAACGAAGAGTACTCAAGAACCCTAACTATTTCTCACTTTCTCTCTCTAGAACTTCAAAATTCGAATTCTATATTAATATATGATATAAGAGATATCCTAATACAATGTAGAGATGTGTATATATCCCTCCTAGCCAGAATCAGTAAAAATCCCCTCATAATTCGTGCATTCTAGTGGAAAGGAGAGAGAAAAGTAACTGGCATTTTGAATTCAGCCATTAATTCAGAGGCTGGCATCAACTTTGTTCACCAATTTTGACCTCTCAAACGTGAAAATTGGATTTCCATTAAAATATGAAATATTTAGAGATATGAGTCAGCATTGCACAAAATCAAGCCTTGCATCAATTGAATTTTTACCCAAGGAGTTATGCCCTTTTTACCACTGGTACTAAATGCTGAGTTCTACCAGCCTAGCAGTAGTGGCTTGTAATTTTGTTCACTAGTTTTGACCTCTTAACGTGGAAATTGGATTTTCATTAAAACATGAAATATTTAGAGCTATGATTTATCTTTCCACATAATTAAATGGTGCAGCATTTTGAGTTCGGAGCAGAGAGTTATGGCAAAAATTCCAATGGTGTGCAATGCTGATTTTTGCAAGAATTACTCCTTGCTTCTTCATGGGCCAAAATGGCCATTTTGGTTGATATTGAACTTGGGCCAATGAATCCAACCTTCTTCCTCATTGTAATACTGAATGTAACCATGGTCTTTTGGGCCATCTTTCATTAGAAATCATTAGTTTCGCAGGCTTGCGTCCGGACGCTGAGTGTCATGGTCTCTCATGGCGCGCATGCAAGGCGCTGACTCGCTAGGTTATGGCATTGGGCGTTCGGATGCATGGCTGGGTGTCTAGACGCATATTTAGCTGGCTACTGGAATTTCATTTTTCTTCAAATCTTTAATTGTTGACCTTGGATTATGAAGTGTGTCTGGATGCAAGAATTGCACTAGGAAAGTGCGTCCAGATGCAAGGCTTGATCCTTGAAGTTGAATTTTCCTTTTGCTTAGCTTTCCATGCTTGACTTCATTCTCAGGCTGAGTACAATCATTAGGCTCTAAGTTCATTTTTCTGGATTCCGTAGCTCGCCAATTTCCTTGTACATTAAAACTCTTTAACATCCTGCTTTTACACTATTTTGGAGATAAACTCTGAAAATAACAATTAAACACAAAAGTATATAAAACATACTTTCTTAACATGTTAAATAGACTAAACAATGCAAATAAGGGCGCTTGAATATGCAATATTCTATACTTATCATAACCCCAAACTTACCATTGGCTAGTCCCTTAGCAAAAACAACTACAAGACATCCTTTCTTTCATGGGAGTGACGATTACATTTAGCATATGTAATAAGATTTTTAAACCCCAAGGTATCCCTAGAGGATGAGTGAAGTCTCGTAAGGCTGGGTTTACCATAAATGATACCCACAAACATTAAGCAATAAGGCTCATTCTTGTTAACTTGAAATATATGACCTTGGGGAAGGACTCTATTATGAAGATTACAACAAGTATGCATATACTGATACCTCAAAACAATATACAATTCACAACATTCATGTATTAACAAAATAGTCCACATACACGATCTTTAACATCTCATTTATAATAGAATTTTATCTCAAATTCCTTAGAAGTGAACCGGAATATTTATTTTCTTTTCTAATGCATTTTAATCCTTTTATAACTCATCCAATGGCTTCCACATCCTTAACTTGTCTTTTAAAATTATAATCCAAGGTATGAATTTATTTGAACAATTTATTATTATTATTATTATTAATAATAATAAGATGAAGAAGTTTAGGAAGCTTGGTGCTCCCTAAAGATGGCTAAGTTTAACGTCGATAGCTCAACGGAATAGGAATCCCATTAGTCGTCATAAATTGGATCCATCAAGATGACGGTCTCCATATTTCCAACCGAATCTAGTTTGTCAATTTAAGTGATAAGTGCTCAAATGTGATGCCTACTCAAAGAGGCTTGTAATGAATTCCGAGCACGTCGAACTTCACCTAACTTGAGTAGTTGCGAATTTCCTCCAATCATAGGGAGTATTTATGACTTGGTGCCTACTCAAAGAGGCTTGTAATGAATTAATTGAACATTATTATTGTAGTAGATATCTTACCAATTATTGA